GGAATGGGTTTAAGTTAGCAAGCAAGAAGGGATATGACAATTCACCAAACGTTATATTCTCATAAAAAATAATCCAATAATTGATTAAACTTAATATTGAGCACTTAGGAAACATCCAAATTGTCTGAAGAATTGCTAGAGCTTCCTAGGACATTTTAAATTGGACATGGACTTGATGGTCCAGGAAAGAAGGGTTGGGGCCTGTGAAAAATTGACCAGCTCATTGGCCTAGATGCACGCTTGGGGGCAGATGGCAACATATCCCTAAAGGTATTCTTTGAGTGAGAACTCCCCTTTACTCTTTAGGGTGTGGTAGAGAGAAAGACAGGGCTGTTATGCAGCTGAGACTATGTGGTGATAGTGGTCAAATGAGTGAAACTCCACATTTCATTAAATTCTCCAGGACTGTCCTTGTGGATGAAGATGCCAGACCTGAAGAAAAAGAACTCAGAAAAATGAAAGCATCCAGCGTGATCTCAGATGTATGGCTTCCCTTCCCTGGGGAGGGTTGGCAAGTTGTAGTCCTTCCAGTAAAACAAAGACAGAACCAGTAGCAGAGTGGCAAGTGCGATGCTGGAATTTAACTGGGATGAGGCTGAATAGCTTTATCCACATCACTTCCCAACCAAGCATTACAGAGCCAACATCTCAGTGAGAGTCCAGGACACCTCCATATATAGCTCTCTATGACAGAAAAGCTAGTTATCTCTAAACCTTGGTGCTCTTATGCTCTTCCCGCACCTTAGATAGAAGCTACCAAAGGAGAAATGTTTTCTTTAATAATTCCATAGCAAAAACAAAGGGAAGATCAAGAGAATTTAAAAATGAATACCCTTAAATTGTTCTTCTAAAAAGATGGCCTAAGGAAACTATTGGATATACAAAGATTTGTGTACAAAAATGTTTGTTAAAACACTTTAGAGATAACAGAAACTTGAAAAAAAGGAAAATGAATGACTGTATATCCATGATGATAAACAATCTTTTAAGATAGTATCTGAGTCATTAATGGCAAATAGTGAGATGTTGGGCATTTTCCTACTGTGTAGTAGGAGTATGAGCTAGGCATAACCTTTGTGGCATACAACTTGGCAAGTGTATCAAAATTTAATGTATAGTTCTCCTCATAGAAAATTATTCCCCAAATGCACTTCTGCATTACATAAAGACACATAACCACTCCTGTACACTGCAGCTTTGTAAAATCAAGAAAAATTGGAAAAAACTTAATTCCATCAAAGGAGATTAGCTAAATAAATAAAATCATATCTGAACAAGGCAATATGATGAAGTCCTTTTTTAAAAAAATAAATGTCTCTATATTAATTTGGCACAAAGTCTAATGTATTAAGGAAAGAAAAATGAATACAAAACAGGGTACATAGTGTACTCCCATTTGTGTAAAGAAAAAAGTGCATAAAAACAGTTAACACTTGTTGAGCATATATGATATGCTTTGCACTGTTCTAAGAATTTTTTTACATTAACTCTTTTTCCTCTCCCAACAACCCTTGTGAATTGCGCACTATTATCTTTCCCTATTTTGACAGTAAGGGAACACATCCATCCTGCGGGGGAGCTGGAAGACTTGGCAGTCTGACTTGCTCTTAACTACCGTATTACATCTCAAATAGTTACATAGATACATTTGCTTGTGCATGGAATATCTCTGGCATGTAAGCCTCCTTGGGGAAGGGTTTTTTCCTGTTTTATTCACTATTTTATTCCCAGGACCTAGCCCTGGTTCATGTAAGTCCTCAATAAATATTAGTTGAATAAAGAGAATAACTAAATGGAACATATAAGAAACTGGACAGTGGTTACCGGGGGAGGAGGAAACTGGAGGACTAGAGAATAAGGATGGAAGTCTTTTTTTAAACCATATACCCTTTTGAATATTTCAATTTGTATCATATGTGATCATCTACTTTTTAAAATATTTTAAATGATGCTTGTGAAAAATATTGTCACATGAGAAGTGACATCCATGTTATAATGTCAATTGAAAATTAGAATAAAAATATATATACATATATACACATAGTATGTAGACATACACATATATATATACATTTATCTATAGTGTTACCTAATTATGGATTTTTTATGTCTTTCTTTGATGCTCTCTGTATTTTTCCAATTTTTTAGAGTATGTATGAGTATACAAAACACTTGTCTTTTAAGTTTTAATAGTCTTTTTATTTTCAAAGATGTTTTCCATAGAAAACCCAGGAATGCAGAAAAATTACAAAATTATAGAAAAATTACAAAATTACAGACAATTACGGAATAGAGAAAAATTACAGCAAACATCCTCAAATCTCACCACTCAGAAAAACTCTACTGAAATTTTTATCTCTATTTGCATATGCAAAGAAAGATCATTTGACTTCCTTTTTTTCCTACTTCATTTCTTCCTCTTGCCTGATTGCTCTGGCTAGGACTTCCAGTACTATATTAAATATGTGTTGTGAGAGTGGACATCTTTGTCCTGTTCCAGTTATTAGAGGGAATTCTTCCAACTTTTACCCATTCAGTATGATGTTGGCTATGTGTTTGTCATAAATGGCTCTTATTATTTTAAGGTATGCTTCTTCTTGCCTAGAAGGCTAAGAGTTGTTGTTGTTGTTGTTGTTTTTCCACAAAGGGATATTGGATCTTATCAAATGCCTTTTCTGCATCTGTTAGATGATCATATGTTTCTTGTTTTTAATTCTGTTTATGTGGTGGATCATGTTTGTTGATTTGCATATGTTGAACCCACCTTACATCCCAGGAATAAAGCCTGCCTGATCATGGTGAATTATCTTTTTGATGTGCTACTGGATGCAGTTTGCTAGTGTTTTGATAAAGATTTTTGCCTCTATGTTCATCAGGGATATCAGCCTGTAGTTTTATTTCTTGGTTGTGTCTTTGCCAGATTTTGGTTTCAGGAAGATATTGGTTTCATAGAATAAGTTAGGAGGGAGTCTCTCCTCCTTGGTCTTTTTGAAATGGGTTCAGTAGGATTGGTACCAGCAGTTCCTTGTACTTTTAGTAGAATTTGGCTGTGAATCTGTCTGGTTCAGGACTTTTTTTTTTTCTGGTAGGTCTTTTGTTACTGATTCAATTCTGTGACTTGTAATTTGTCTGTTCAGGGTTTCAGTTTCTTCCTGTTTCAATCTTGGAAAGTTTTGTGTTTCCAGGATTTTATCCATTTTCTCCAGATTCTGAATGAATTTACACACACATCTTTAGACACATGAGGCATATGTAATGTCACATGAATGGAACTGCTTTTTCATTCTTTAATATGTTGTACACATCATCCCTAGTCCATAAATATACATTGCATCATCCTCCATGGATAGATATACCAACACACTTTTTTAAAAGAGACTCCCTATTGATGGGCATTTAGTTTGCTTCCAAAGTTTTGCTATTACAAATAATGCTACAGTAAACATCCATGTATGTACATTCTGGTTACTTGCCCAATTATATCCCTAGAAAAAGATGTACTATTTTTATATTATATATAGCATACTTCACTTTTCTGTCAATGATGGGTAGGAACACATTGATGACTTGTTATGAATGCTTGCTAACTTTCCCTACCATCTTTAATTTCTAGGGATTAAAAATTAGCTCCACTGAAGCAGAAAAAATACATTCCAACCAGAGCCCAGTGGAGTTTCAGGAATCCCTATGGATCTTTGAACAGGATGAGATGCTTTCCATTGGGATAGAAGAAGTAAGTAACACTGCATGGGTCCTGACATCATCTGATACTAACCTTTCTGAGTACCTGCCCCATGTTAGAAACTTAAATCTCACCAAAGCACTGTTACAAGCACTGTTACCACCATTATCATCATATGTTCTCGGGGTGCTGGGCTAGTCACACTTAATGGAGTCAAACAAGTTAAAGACGGGAATTAATCTGTAAATTTATATAACTTTTAACTCACTCTTTGCAGGCCCTTTATTCTAGTAGCTGCTCTCATATAGAATGACTTTCTCTGCAGGTGTTTGATATTTTGCCCCTCTATGGAGTGTTGCAGCCACATAGCAGCCACCAGATATCATTCACCTTCTATGGACACTGTAACATCATTGCACAGGCTAAAGCTCTGTGTGAAGTGGAAGGGGGACCCACCTATGAAATAATACTAAAGGGAGAGGCATCTCTGGTCAACTATTCCTTTGACACCAAGCATATTAACTATGGATTACAGGTATAGCAAACCATCAGGTGGAGATTTTCTGGATTTGCCTTAAACATCTTAAACCAATCCCTCCTGGGTCATCATACTTTCACCATCACCCCATCCTGAATCCCTAATCTGCCTCCCTAACTCAGATCATCCTTCTGCTGCCAACTATTTGCCAGACACTTTCACTTGCTTCTTCTCACTGTCTCCTGAAATTCAGCATGTTAGACACTCAAATCCTCTTTTTTCCCTTTCAATCCAGAAGTCCATTCCAATCTCTTCATTTCTTTCAATAGCACTACCATTTTCTCACATTCTTGGGCTTATGATCTCCAAGACTTTTCTGTTGCACTCTCCTTCACCTCCCCACGTCGTTACAACATCCAGGGTTTGCTGATTCATCCACCAGGATCCCTCTCTGAGTCAGTGTTCCCTTTCTGTCACCATTGTTATCACACTACAAGGCCACATCAAGCCATGCCTAAATTACTACAGAAGTTTTTTTCACACTGTAATGTATATACCAATTGCCTGGGAATCCTGTTTAAGTGCAAATTTTGATTCAGTAGGTGATGGGTGGGGCTTGAGAATTTGCATTTCTAATATGCTTCCAGGTAATGCCAGTGCTGCTGGTCCATGGATCCATTGCAAACCAGGGGTTATAGTGCATTCATAGCTGCTACCACTAACCTATCTAGACATCATTGCCAGAGTTTTCCAAAACTGTATTTTCATCCCACCAGGCCCTGACTAATTAAATCTCAGCAGCATTTGGAAAAGTAACATAGCATTGAGGAAAGAGCATGGTCTTGTATTCTGGTTTTACTTCCTACTGACTGTGTGACCCTGGGCACATCAGCTAATCTCTCTAAGCCTCAATATGCCTCATCTATAAGGTAGCAATGCCTATCTCACTCACCAGGAGGTTTGTAATTACTTAAATAAAGTATCTGGTCAGAATAGACCGTCAATCATGATGTTTCTTTTTCTGTTACCCAATGGGTCAGAGCCCTTTCTTCCACCTGGGTGAAGGTATCCTAAGCCCCTCTATTAACTGATATGCTTTACACAGTAAATTTCATTTCCCATAATTCCCCATCATAGTCCATTAATGCAATTGTAGCCAGGCTGGTTTACCCACTGGTTGCACTGCGCCCTGGCCCTTCCTGCCTCCACACCTTCTCTTATGTCTCTCATCCTTCATTTTGCCAACCTTAAACCTGTATGTCCTGTAAGAGCCAGCTCAACTCTATTTGTAATTACCTTTCTCTTACTTTATATTCCCTTGCCACTTAATTATATTCTTTGCCACAATATAATATACTCATAACCAAGTCCAAACTTGTACCACTTGCCACGCAACAGTCAATAATTCAAAAGACAAAGTGTTAGGGCAAGGGAAGCAATTTTATTAGGAAAGCCAGTAAACCAAGAAGATGGTGGACTAGTGTCCTAAAGAACTATCTTTAGTACAAACATCAGGCTCCTTTTTATGTTAGGGGGAAAGGAGCGGGGTGAGGTCAAGAAGTAACCAAGGGCCACAGACATCTGGGCACCAGCGAGGGTCTAGAAGTTGTGAAACTAATCTATTTTTGGTCAGTTGACTTTAGATGATGTAGGTCAGGTCATGATATTCCTATAAATCTTTAACACATTTAACATTGTTACTTATGTGTACACTTTTCTCCTCGGGAGTTAGTTTTGGGAAAGAGATTTATCATTTTTTTCCTAAAGTTGAACTATAAACTAAATTCTTCCTGTAATTAGCTGGTCTATGCACATAGCTAAGCAGAAGCTTTTAACCTAAAGGATATTACCATAGGGAGTAGAAGCAAAACGGAGTCAGTCATGCTTAACCTCTCTCTATTAACATACTTTCTCATTTTTGTTTTAGGATAATTATCAGTTAATTCTGTCAGTACACCTTCTTTTCTCAGTTAGATTTTGTGTTATGTACTCAGAGACCATATCTCCTACCAAATTTCAATAAGGATTGAATCTCCATTATATAGCTACTGCAAGTATAACTACTGAATATTATGCATGACCTTCTCCATTGTTGACCAAATAAAATTATCTTTCCTTATCTCCAGGGCTCTCTAGGCAATTGGTTTTGGCTCATCTCTGAGTGTAGTCTTGGAAGCAGCTAGCCCCTAGCTTGTCCAAAGGATTTCTGAAGTGGCCTCAGTTTGTGGTTATTTGGCCCACTGAGCCAGCTGGTGAATTATATAGCAAAATCTCAGGAAAAAGAACATAACTGGCCTATTATGCCCATAATTTTCCATTTAAATGGAAAGATTCATTTCAGAACATTCTAAATTCAAATCTTATGTTTATCTTACAGGATAGAATCCAGAAAGCAAATCTTCTCACTTTAGAAAGCTTACCTTAAGATTCTCTAATATAAATTTCTGTGATTAAGCAACTGAGGCCCACAGAGGTTAGGCCCTCAGTCCCACATCCATACCTAAATCACTTATTAGGAGAACTAAGACATGAGCTAGTTTCCAGAGTCCACTGGTTCTCCTGCTCCTCCCGTAGGCACTTTTTGTGATGCTGAAATGTAAATTGACCAGTGTCTGTAAGGCATTTTTATTCACCTTTGTCAGAATGACAGCAGCATCCCATGGGATAGGTGACAGTGGAGTCACTTTTCTCCTTCTTCTCTTCTCAAGCTGTTTGACCATGTCACAGAGAGGGAAATCACACTGAAGAACATGGGGAAGGTTGGCTTTGAGTTCAAGGTTTTGATGGACCACCAGTCCTCCCCAGAAAACCTTCTCCCTGGAGTACCACTAATCCTGCCTCTCTCCGTAAGTAAGTGGTGGGAGGGGCCCAAATTCAAACCTACAAGCCACACCCTAGATGTAGGTGGACATACACTGCCACAATTATGGGTGGAACTTTTCCTGAACTCTCTAAAGCAAGAAAAAATAAATAAAGAGCAGATGTGGTGGTACACACCTGTCATCCCAGCACTTTGGGAGGCCTAGAAGGGAGGATCCCTTGAGGCCAGGAGTTTGAGAAAAATAAATAAATCTGGGCCATGTCACTCATTAAACAAATATTTATTGAGTTCTACATTAGCCAGTTTCCAGGCACCAAGGATGCAGCGCTAATAAGACAGATGCATCCCATGGATTTTTTTTTTTTCATGGTAATAAGACTAGGTTATTTTCACTGATGTCTTCACACTTTCCTTATAATTCTTGAGGGCTTTTTCTCCACTGACTGTAGCAGGTGTGAAAACATCAGTAGAAGGCAAGGAGCCAAACTGGTTTCAGAAACAAATGGAGGAGGTGGTTCTTTGTTCATATTGTGTTGATCTACCAGTTTTAAGGAACTTGTGTTGAATTTTTCTCATTATGTAAGTAGCATATAATTGTGATAGAAAAATTGGAAAATATTTTAAAGGAAACTTATTCAAAATCTTAAATTAAAAAAATAAAAACTTTCTATGATAGTTTGTTCTTCCTCTAAATTATCACACACATTTGGGTTTATTGCTAGTCTCCCTATTCTTCATTGATCTGTTTGTCCTTACACTAATACTATTCTACTTTAATTACTATAGTTTTAAAATATATCTTAATATCTATTAGGTCAACTCCCCTTTTGCTCTTCTTTTTCTAACTTGTCTTAGCTAATATTTTGAATTTACCTCTACATCTTTATTTCTCTAACTTCCTAAGTTGAATGCCTATTGTTATTTTTTCTTAGTTAATAATGAAAAAAAATGACTATTTATTTGCTTGAGTATGCCTTTAGCCGTATCCCATAAATTTTAAGAATATTGCCAGGCTCAGTGGCTCAGCCTGTAATCCCACGCCTTTGGGAGGCTGAGGTGAGTGGATTGCCTGAGCTCGTGGGTTCGAGACCCGCCTGTGCAACTTAGTGAGACCTCATCTCTACAATAAATCAAAAATGAACCGGGCGTGGTAGCATGCACCTGTAGTTCCAGTTACTTGGAAGGCTGAGGCGAAAGGATCACCAGAGCCCAGCAGGTCAAGGCTGCAGTGGCCGGGAGCGGCCACTGCACTCCAGTCTGGGTGACAGAGTGAGACTCCAACTCAAAAAAAATTTTAAGAAAATTACCGATGAATAAGTGGAAGTCAATTTTGTATATTTTATACATGTCAATATTTGCTATTAATTTTTATTATTTTCTAAGTTGTCTAGAGTTGTATTTTTATGTAGAAGTATAATTTTATAATATATTTTTCTTTTTTTAATTTCCAAATAACTAAGATTTTTGTTATTGTTATTTAAACTCTTATTAATGCTGATATTGAGAGTTTTTTGTTTCATGGTCAGATAAAATGGCCCTCTAACTAAATGAACTCATTAGTATATTTTAGTGACCTAAAATGATTTTGTATGCCATGAATGTCTGATAATGTTACCTAGGCTATAGAATGTAGATTATAATGAATCTCTTACATTAACCTAAATAGCTCTAGTATTCAAATCTTCTGTTTTTTCCTGTTTAACTTTTCTAAGACTGAGATATTAAAAGTTTTGTCCATTTCTCTACCTATTGTTTTCTACAAATATGTGAAAATTTTTGTTTAATACCTTTTCATTTTGTGTTAACATGTAAGATTTCATAACTATTTTATCTGTTTTAATTGCTTTCTTGTTCCCTTTTATTTATTTATTTTTTTCATTTTCACTTTGGTATTGTGATTCCTGCTTTCCTTTTGCCTTATGTCATTTTCCCATAATATATGACATTTTGTTTTAGATTTATCACTCATAAAACATATATAGTTGGATTTTTAAAAATCTTCTCTGGAAATCTTAGGACTCAATAGGGAGATATAACACATTCTTATCATTAGTATAATTAAAATTATTGGTATTATTTCCTTCACTGTATTTTCTTTTTTTTTTTTAATTTCCTGAATGTTTTCTTTCTAATCTTATGTTTTCTTTGCCTTTTTAAAAATTAATTTTTAAGCATTTTCATTTACATCGCTGCTGTTAGTGTAAATTGACACAACTTTATAAGGAACAATTTGGCATCATCTACAAAAATTACCCTTTGACCCAGAAACTTATTTTCAAATAATTTTTTCTACATACATATTCCCACATTTACAAAATATGTACATATTTTCTATGTAATTTATAGTGGCAATAGCAAAAGACCAGAAACAAACGAAAATGTCTATCAGTAGGAAACTAATTTTTTTAATGTATTAAAACTATGTAATGGAATAATATACAGCAGTTAAAAAGGATAAGGCAATTCTATATGTACTAATACTTAGTAAATTCTAAGATATAGTGTTAGGTAAAAAGAAAAGAAAAAGAAGATTAAAACAAACACGATATGTGTGTATATATATGTATATATATATATGCTACCATTTGCATTTTAATATTCTGTATATAGTTGGATCCAGTTAGCTAATATTTTGTTTACTATTTTTGCCTCTTTGTTAATAAGTGATAATTGGTTCATGAAATTCCTTCTTCATGCTGTATTTGACCAGTATAAATATCATAAGAAAAAATGAGTAACTCTTTTCTATTTTCTGGTATGGTTTATAAATTAATGATTATCTGTTTTTTGAAGAGTTAGTAGTGCTTGTTTCTAATACTATACATTCATTTGGGTGGTTTTTTTTTTTCATTTTTTAACTTCTATATAGGATATGGGTAATTAGGAGATTTTTTTAGTTTGGTTATTCATATTTTCCAGAAAATCGTTAATTTCACAAAAATGTTTTAATATTGGCATAACGTTTTCTCATAGCCATATATGATTTATAGAATTTTTTTGCTATATTTACACTTATAAACCATTAACTTTTTTTGGTGGCTTTTCTCCTTATCTTCTCAATCAATCTTGCCAGAGTTTTTGTATATTTGTATTAGTCTTTTGTCAAAGAACAAGCTTTCAGTTTTATGGAACTCTTTTGTTTCTTTGTACTCTATTTCATTAAATCTCTTATTTTTTTCCTTCTTTTTTCAGGTTTATTTTGTTGTTGTTATTGTTATTTTACTAATTTAAAGAGTTGAACCTGTAGCACATTAGTTTTCACTCCTCTGGTCTTTCTACTGTATAGGGTTTTATCAGTTCACATAATGAGCAGGTGTTGAAGGTTTACTACTTACCTGGAGTACCTGAGATCTTTCAAAGGAATTTCCAAATCCAGATTGCCCACCTGGACCCAGAAAATATCACTCTGAGTGGAGAGGGAATCTTTCCCCGAATCTGCCTCGATCTCCCCAGGAACCTCACAGGTACTGCTGTATATTATAGTACTTCCCCGCTGGGGACAAAAGTTTATTTTAGCTTTGTTTATTTGAAGGTTAATAGCTACTTCATTTATTTGCTTAGAAGTTCCTTCTAGTTATCTTTGGTGTTATTCTTTAAGTACACACACACACACACACACACACACACACACACACACACACACACAGCAAAAGTTGGATTTAACTTGGTGATCTGAGTTTAGTGGGATAAGATACGGCCTGTGCAGCCCCAAATTAAGAACCCTGGCCAATTTTGCCATTATTGAATGACTTACAGAAGGATCAGAAATTTTCACCTGCAAAGGCTTTTCCACTTGGTGCATGTGCCTTACAGCCATCGTTTCTCACTGATTTATCCTTTCTTAATCACACACTTATAGATGCCCACTGAGATGGCAAAGGCTAATGTACCTACAGGAGTAGAATTCTCAAAATATAAACTGTACAGAAAGGCAACCACAGATTCTGAGCCCTTATTTTGGCATTACACAGTTTGAAGGCTATATTAGACTCTAATGGTTGTCTGCCCACATACCAGACAAGTCTTTTCTGGTCATGTCTGGCCTCCGAGACCATCCTCGGCACCAGAATGATATTTGTCTTGGCAGATCCTACAACTCAACTGAGCAGCTCTTTCAGTCATAGACTCTCCCTGGCTCTTTCTTCCTGATACAGGGTACAGGATGAAGGGCCAGGAAAATCTCTCATTCTTCTTCATAAATCCTTTTCTGAGCTCCTTGAAACCCACTTTTTCTAAAAAGCTTTGGGCTAAGTCCTCCCACTCCAGTCTTTCCTCCTAAAGTCACTAACTCTCCTGTTGAGGATCATCCATTGAATTCTAATTGCTCCCTGAAAACATAATCATGAATACTAGTAAAGCTAAAACCACCTTCCACTCTAGTACCTAGATTTTCAGCCAGATGAGTGTTGCACGTATGTTGTTAGGGAGAATACCACGTGGTTGAAATATGGATGTCCAGGTGGCCTCATCAGGGCAGTAGACATGGTATGATCAGTAATAGTTTTTTTAAAAATTCAAATTTGAACACCATTAGTTGGATCTTCTATATGTCAGTTCTCTATGGTCCCAGCATTTCCTATTGTTTCCTGGTGGACATTTTAATTACTTTGCCTACTTTGCCCCTCAAAGGATTTGAATTTGCACTGGCTTAATGGTATAATTGAGTGTCCAAAGTTTCCCCATCGACAATATCTTGACTCTTCATATTATGGGTTGTTTAGCTTTAGTTAAAGCAACTTAACTAAAACATGTTCTTTTTGTTAATTGAGATTTAATAAACATGAATATTGACTTAAACATGAAAACTGGGTCAGCTGTCCCAGTTTGTCCAGCACTGAGAGAGCTTCAGGGTGTAGAGTTTAAATGTTAGAACTGAGAAAGTCCCAAGTGAACAGGGCTCAAGTGGGTCACCTTACAAGTGACTTAAAATGTTACAGCTTTCAAGTTCCTGGGAATCAGCCAGTTGCTCATTAAAGCATAATCTCATTAAACTCAATGAGGTCTCTGATACAAATTCAACTCACAAATTACCTCACCCTCTGAAGCAGAGGAAACATGGCAGGCAAAGTACCAAAAAGTTTACTTCCCTTCTCACTCTATCCTGAGCTGAAAGTGTGTTTGGGACATAATCATATTTTTCTGAACTTCCTGAGTCGCCTCTCCTTCCAACCTCCATAGGAAATGAAAAGTATGGAACCTTCTTGAATCAGGCCAGAAAAAACATAGAAACAGAATACAACAAATATGAAACTCCTGATCACTTTGAGATAATACCTGAGGAAATGCTTGAGGATGACTCTACTGAGGTAAGACTAGCTTCACCTGCATAGAATGTTTATACAGAAGGACAGTATGTGCAAAGCACCAGTGGCAAGAAGAACATAGTATCTCTGCGAAACAGAAAGGAGAAAGAGCTAAGGCAAAGAAGGGGGGAGATAGGAGAGAGAAGAGAAGCCTAAAGAAGTGAGCGGCTGCCTGGTGAACCTATTAGAGGTTTTAGACGTTATCCTGAGAGCATCAAGAAGCCACTGAAGTGGATTGCCTGAGCCCGCGGGTTCAAGACCCGCCTGGGCAACTTGGCGAGACCTCCTCTCCACAATAAATCAAAAAGTCAGCCGGGCATGGTAGTGCACACCTGTAGTTCCAGCTCCTTGGAAGGCTGAGGCGGAAGGATTGCCGGAACCCAGCAGGTCGAGGCTGCGGTGGCCGGGAGCGGCCACTGCACTCCAGTCTGGGCAACTGAGTGAGACTCCAACTCAAAAAAAAAAAGCCACTGAAGTGTTTCAATCAGAGGTGTGGCATAATCAGTTTTGCAACCATCTTTTAAAAAAGTCCTTCAGCTGCCTTGTGGAGACTTGAGGGGTCTGGGACTTTGGGTGATAATAGGAGATGAAGAGAGATCAGCTTTTAAAAAAAAAAAGCTGATGCAATAATTCTAGATGAGAGCTGGTGGTGGTATAAGCAATGATAATGACAGGGGGCCAGGGAGAACTGGGCAGGCTCAAGGAATGTTCCAGAAGTGGAATGGTCAGGGATTAGAGATTGATTGGATATGAGGTGAGGCCACATGGCCTCTATGTGCCTTGCATGGATGACAAGGTAGGGAGTGGGGTACTGAGATGGGAAACTCAGGAGGAAAAGCGAGTTTTGGTGGGAGGGAAAGGAAGGGAAGTGAGTTCAGATGGTTCTGATGGTTATTGAGCATGAGATTTCTATGCACCATCCAAGTGAAGCATCCAACAGGGAATTGTAGCCACAGCCAGGGACCTGGGAGAGAGGGAGGCTAGAGAAAGTGATCTGAGAGTCATCAGATGGGTATCATAGTCACCAGAAACGAGGAGATTCCCTAGAAAGTATGTTCAGAGAGTAGGGAAGAGGATGGATTCAGAATGGAGCCCTCAAATATCCCAATATCTGAGTGGGAGAGGGATGACTAAAATGTTCTGGAAAATCAGGAATGAGTGGTGCCAGAGCTGGGAGCAGGTCAAGAGGGGGTCTGGAAGAGGGAGTGTAAGAGGAAGTGGCCTAGCTTGTAAATAAAAGCTAGACTAGGAAGTCAGGATTCCAAAATGTCCTCCCTCACCACCCCCTGTAATTCTGCTCTTAACAGTTTATTCCTGACCATGAAAGCTGCCGTCTCCCTGTTTTCTTCTTTTAAAATGCAACTGTGCCTGAGACTACTGTCCTAAGGAAGAATTATATATGTAGCTAGAAAGCCCTAACTGGTTAAGAGGGGGTTCTAAAATGGGGAAGAAGGGTGTCATGAGGGGGACTGGGAGCCCAAAAGGTCACTAGCGATAATTTGTTTCGCAGAAACCTGGTTCAGGTACATGACACTAAAAGTGAACCTCAGCACCAGGATAATCATAATTAATACTGCCAGCTACCATTTATCGAACTCTTATACTAAGCCTGTTAACATGCATTGTTATCTCATTAAATCTTCCCAAAATGGGGAGAGGGGGAGTATGGTGTCACTGTTGTCTATATTGTACAGTTTTACAGAACTCACGGAAATGAACAGCATGCCCAAGGCAAGCACAGAGCTAGGATTTGAACTGAGACCTGCCCAACTGCTAAGAGGGTGCCCTAGGCTCTGCTCTCTCCTGAAGGACCGGGTTGCCCATGAGGGGCAGTGGTGTGTTTCCACCTGCTAACCGCCTTCCCAGGCTGCTCCTCATCAAAGCCTTGGGACATCTGCCTCTGGAAGTCCTCCAGACCCGAGGTTTCTGTGAATGTGATGGCACGTGCAGAGCCAAGCTAGTCCCCCTGAGTAAAACAAAGTCTATACCACTGGTGGCTCAGGAGCCAAACACAGGTTTGGCTTTGCTGTTCCAGAATCCTGCCAACTGGGGGCGCTGTCCATAGGACATGCTCCTCTCACTGTTTGTTACAGTTCCAACTCTCACTGTCTGATGTCTCACTGTGGGCCAGGGCACACATTAACCTTCCCTGCTGGGCCCTGGACTTAAGGTCTGGCACTTTTCTTTTCTTTTTTATTTATTTTTTTTAGTTGGAGTCTCACTCTGTCACCTCGACCTGCTGGGCTCCGGCGATCCTTCCACCTCAGCTTTCCGTTGCTGGAACTACAGGCGTGCACTACCACGCCCGGCTAATTTTTTATTTTACTGTAGAGATGAGGTCTGGCCAAGTTGCCCAGGTGGGTCTTGAACCCGTGGGCTCAGGCGGTTCACTCACCTCAGCCTCCCAAAGTGCTGGGATTGCAGGCTGAGCCACTGAGCCCGGCAAAATACTTTGAGGCTTCTTCTTATTTTTTATTTTTTATTTTTTTTGAGTTGGAGTCTCACTCTGTGTCCCAGACTGGAGTGCAGTGGCGGCTCCCGGTCACCGCAGCCTCGACCTGCTGGACTCCAGCGATCCTTCCACCTCAGCCTTCCGAGTAGCTGGAATTACAGGCACGGCTGATTTAGGTCTGGCACTTTTCAAACAATGTTTCTCAGCCTTTTTCACTATCACCCTCTAAAAATCAGTTAGACACTTTTTTAAAATACCTCCCATGAAATATTTTTATTACTTATAAAATGGAATATATTTGAATCATTTGGTATTTATTTTTTTAACTTTTTATTTGGAAATGATTATAGATCTATAGGGAGTTGCAAAAAAAAATGCTTTTCCCAGTGGTAACATAGTACAATAATCAAAACCAAGGAATTGACATTAATACAAGCCACAGAGCTTATTCAGACCTCACCAGTTTTACATGCGAGTTGTGTGCATATTTCTATGCAATTTTAATCATATGTAGGTTTGTATGATCACCACCATAATTTAGATACAGAACTGTTCCATCACCACAAGGATTCTTTGTACTTCTTGAGGAAATAAAATTAAAAACAAAATCTCCTCCAACCCAGAAAAATCTCTCCAGGAAGACTGAAGAGAGAAAACAATTGAATAAGTAATTAAACCAGGATGTGATGCACATCACAGGCAGTCTGCTGAGAGAGCGCAAAGACCAAAGTCTGACCCTTTTATAGCCAACCAGATACATCCATTCCTTGCATGTTCTCAAAGTAAACAATAGCTAGTCCTCAAGTAAGAGGACTTGACAACATGATAATTAAGGTGACCATCTGTGTTAGCTAATTGGCTTTATCCAAAGGAAAAACAAACTTCTCTTGCCTATGACAGAGCCTCTCAGAAATTAGGCTTCTATCCTCTCACAGGAACCAGGAGATTGAGATTTCATCTTTCCTGTTGATTACATTTCAAAGAGATGGTTCCCAGGTCTTTGGGAAAGACATTTCTGGTTCCTAAAGCTGGCAAGCAGTTTATTTCACTTTTTTAAAGATTTACTCACAGCAAATTGGATGGAGTTGGAGACCATCAAACTTAGTGATTTATCACAGAAACAAAGAACTGATTACTGAATGTTCTCACTCATAAGTGGAACCTAAACATTAATCACACTAACACAAGGAAGGGATTAGCAGTCCCTGGACACTGCTGAGGGAGGGAGGGAGGAGCAGGGTCACAAAGGGTACCTGGTTTTAAGCCAGAGGAAGTAAGGGCCAGTTGGAGGTCAAAACTTCACCTGCAGCAGCCTGCTTGTGTAGCTAATCCTGACTTGTATTCCACATCTCTATAATAAAATAAAATGTTTTTTAAAAATGTAAAAGTTGATTTTAGCTAAAAAATAAAATAATAAAGATTTACCCACATTTGAAAGACAGGACATCGCTAAGAACTTAAAATTACACATTTCCTCATAAGGAAAGGGAGGAAGAAGTTTATTTCCTTATTTTTAACAGGGAGGATTAAGCCTCATTTTTAATTTGTGTTTGCCCTTATGTGTGCCCCTTTTGTAACCACACCCATCCTTCTCTCCCTGTTCCTTACCCCTGGTAACCACTAATCTGTTCTCCATCTCTATACTTTTGTTATTACAAGAATGTTATATTATTAGAGTCATATGGCACGTAGCCTTTTGAGATTGACTTTTTTCATTCAGCATAATTCCCTTGAGATCCATTCAAGTTGTCGTATACATCAATAGTTCTTCTTTTTTATTACTGATTAGTACCCCATGGCGTAGATATGCTGTTCGTTTACCCTTCCACCCCCTTCCCATAAAGAAATGTAATACCATAAATATACTGTATATCTGTTTATGTACTGTTGCCCTTTGGAGGACCACAAACCATTGTAATATCTAAGATATTTTTCTCCACCACCCCGAACCAATTTTCACCTCTTTAGAAGTGTTATTGACCTGTTGAAAATACATGTTCTAGAAGAATCTGCTGACTTGCCCTTCTCTCTTGCCCCAGTTAAGTGCTCATCTCCAGATGGAAGTAGAGCGACTTATAGTCCAAAGCTATGCCCTAGAACATCAGAAAACAGTTACAGCTGATCTCATTGATGATACCTACTTCAGCCATCGGAGTTGCCGCAGACTGACCAAGTAAGCACCCTTCTGTGTTGTGTTTGTTTCAGAGTGTAGCAGAGCAAGCAGTGCTGCCTCGTACAGAAAGCTCCCTGAAATACTGGTTGATCATCTAGGAATGAAACCACTCAGCTCCCATTACCTGCCATCCCGTAACATCAAGCCAACCAGATTTGTGTCTTTTAAAATCAGAAAACTACAGCCTTGTCTAATGGACCCGAAAAGGTCCATGAGGGCCTATGTCAAACATGTCCTGAGATAATGGCCAAATCATCAGTGTGAACTTCTGGGGGAGTTATGTTGTTTCTAGTCTCCATTTAGGTGGCCGTTAATTGTTCTCTACTTGGGAGAATAAAGTTGTGCACAGAAGGTAAAAAAGGAACCTCACTCACTTTTGGAAAAGTAGCCTTCCAGTTTTGAAAGTGGCTGGTAAGGAAAGCCTGTTAACCATTTCAGAGTCCAGCTGCCAGAGTACATCCTGGACTTTGGCTACATTGTCCTTGGTGACGTCCGAACCCACATCATCAAGATCACCAACACCAGTCACTTTCCCGTGTCCTTCCACGCAGATAAACGTGTCCTTCATGAGACAGGTAACCAGGCTGGGGAGACCCTTTCCTACTGCACTTTGTCATTTCTAGCAAGGAACCCAGGAACCCATCTGTACTGTCCTTCTGGAGCAGAATTTGTGCCTCTTCTGGGATCAGCTCAAAGAATTGCTAGGCCAATTATTGGGTCATCCTGCCCCAGAGTGGATTCTATCTAGAGATTTTGCTTGCTATTTCTATTTCCCACTTAGAAATTTTGTTTGTCTTGGCCCAGGATTCAGTACTGAGCTAGATCGTGTAAAGCATCTGCCTTACTGTGAAATGGAAACATTTGAAATGCGATTCGACCCACAAGGGGCCAATCTTCCTGTTGGAAACAAAGAAGTCATTCTGCCCATCAAGGTACTGGGCCCATTTGACTGTCAAGGTTTTTAGCTCTGTTTGCTGATTGCCCCTGGTATGATCCAATTACTATGTCAGAGCTGTGATTCTTCCCCCAGTCACATGACACATGGTAAGAGCAGTGATTTATGTTTGCTCTAGGTGGTTGGAGGGCCAACAGTTCACATCCGTCTCCAAGCCAAGGTGACTATTCCAACAATGACACTGTCCTGTGGAAAAGTGGAGTTTGCCACAATTCAGTGTGGACAGTGCTTGGTGGAAAATATTCAGCTTTCCAATCATCTCCAAGTCCCTTGTGAATGGTTTGTTCATAGCCAAAAGCCTGTTAACAAGGTAAGTGAATTGTGCCCCATTGGTCTCCTTTTCTCCATCTCTATTTCAGCCAGATTTGTAATTCTAGGCCTTCACTCTCATTATTTCAATCTCCTGCTCAAAAACTTTCATTGGCAACCATTACCTTCTCAATAGAAGCTGGGACCCTTAGCCCAGCGCTCAAGGCCCTGTCAGGCCATGCTGTGGCAGGTCAAATGTCATTCATCTTTGTACCTCTGATATCTACACATTCTCTGACACTCAGGAAAATAGGTTGTGTAAAGATGAAATAAGTCCATTTTCCATAGAAGATGATCTAATTGTCTAATATTTATAAACCAGCTGAAGAAACATATACCAAAGTACTTAAGACAGAAACTACATGCTGAGATAAAGCCAAAGACTCGGATCTTTGAGATCCAGCCCACTTCTGGAGTCTTGGATCCTGATGAAAGGTCCAACGTGCAAGTGAAATTCATGCCAAAAGAAGAGGTGAGCCTTAAAGTTAATGTGCCTTTATTTAGATTCTCTGAATCATTTGAGCTTTGCTCAATGCCCATGCTTGTTTGGGTCTCAAAGGAGGCTTTGAGTGCCTGGTGCATTGCTATTCTGAATATGGCATCTCAAGTGCTTCTGTTTCATGTAGTAGCTGGGTGGCCTGGTGGTCGGGAATCCACAGACTATCTAACACATCGATTTCATAAACAGACCTGAGTTAATAGCCTTCTGCCTCTACACTCATAGTCTTGTGTCTTTGAGCAAATTACTTAGCTTCACTAAGCCTCAGTTTGCTCATAGATAGCATACAAAGTAGTAATATTAGTTATCCAAAATATTCTTTATTGCAATTCTGAAATCCAAAAAGCTCCAAAATCTGGAGGGTGAGAGGAGCAGATTTTATAAGTTTCAGACCAAAACTCATTTGGCAGAAAAATCTCATCTGACATGAGACTGTTTAGCTTTTATTTATCCCACTTAGTTTTCAGAGTTAAACATTGTTAAACATTGCAACTGCAGAAATATTGATGCGTTTGGTTACAGGGGGCCTGTCCCAGACTCTGCTGAGGGTATTAGGTAGCAAAGGTTATATGCCCTCTGTTTACCTTTTTAAAAATCTAAATTTGAAAATATCTGGCCCCCTGTGTTTCAGATAAATTATTATCAACTTCCTGGGGTCATTTTGAGGATTAAGTGCACAACATTGAATAAAACACACAGCATACCACTGTATATTAAGTGTCTCAATAATTATTAACTGTTATCAACAGAAGTTGTGATAAGTACTTCCTGATGGATAGCCTCCCTGAGCCTCTTAAATGTTTCTTTTGAGCACCATCAGCACAAAGCTACTCTGGACCAAGAACACAGTAAAATTAATAAAATCCTAGAACCAGAGAGGATCTCAAGACTTTGCACTGTGAAGACTTGTGTTCAAAGCTTGAGGCATTTGGGAAATGTTCTCCTTTATTCTGTTCTTTTTTTTTTTTTTTTTTAGTTCATGTCTTTTATTAGCTCATACACAATTACTTCTCTTCTGGTTTGTTGAAGCAATAAGTCAGACATTTGCCACAGTAATGTCTGTCAAAGTGGCTGACCGTAAAAACTCCAGCACCACATTCAACTGAAGGATACTCTCGACGAAGGCGACTGATTTTGCCATTCTCATCCACCTTATAGTACTTCAGGACAGCCAGCTTAACCTTCTTTCTCTTATGCTTATTCTTCTTGGGAGTCGTATAAGACTTTTTCTTCCTTTTCTTAGCACCACCACGACGTCTCAGCACAAGATGAAGAGTAGATTTCTTTTGAATGTTGTAGTCAGACAGAGTATGTCCATCTTCCAGTTGCTTGCCAGCAAAGATCAGTCTTTGCTGGTCAGGAGGAATTCCTTCCTTATCCTGGATCTTGGCCTTTACATTTTCTATTGTATCCGAGGGTTCAACCTCGAGAGTGATGGTCTTCCCCGTAAGGGTTTTCATGAAAATCTGCATCTTGGCGTGGTCCCACCGCAGATGGCAGATCGAAAAGGAAGAGCTATTCTGTTCTTTTAAAAGAGAAACTGATATGAATTTTCTAGAATACCTATGGTTAACTCCTATTTTGCTGATTTTGAGAAAATGCTTAAGAATCTGCAGTGACAAAGAAGAAAAGGGAATGACTTCATATCTCATTCTAAAATAAAGCCCACCTTTATCATTATTAAAATCTCCCAGCTCTTTTAAAAGAAAACTAATAATATATTTGTCATTCTTGAAGAGTCTTAAGACTCTTCAAGAGTCAAAGGGGCTTACTCAAAATTTTGGATTTTTTTTCCATTACTGAATGAGAGAACTATCAGTAAATATATTAAAAATATAATAGATTTGTTCAGGCAGTTCCTTAAATGTTGAGTTGAAATTGATCAAAGTTAATAAAATGTTTCCACAGATTAAGAGAGGAACTTATTGGCTATATACAAGGAATTGGTCACCCATCTATACCTGTGTCTCCATCAACATCAGCAGCACAGAGAAATCACTGACGTTGACACACAGTTCTTAGGCATCATAACATATGTTCAGACTACTCTATGGTAGAAAACAAGGAAAGGAATTAAATGTTTTAGAAATATTTCCATAAGCAGCAACTAAAATATAGAAGTTTGGGTCATAAAGTGCTAAGCTCATAACTACATAGAAAACCCTCTTAGCCAATAATGTATTCTCTAATTGTGTCCAGCAATAGATATTTCTCTGTGTTTTTATGTCCATATGCATTCCTTCCATTTGATTTGTCCCCCTAGAGCTAAGACAGGAGCACTTCAAATTGTGGTGACATTCATGGCCCCCTAACCCAAGTCGTGAGTCCAACTGTGTCAGAATGACCTGGGAATCTGGTTAAAACATGCAGAATCCCCACCTTGCTCTGCCCCTGCTGGGTCAGGCTCTCTAGGGGTAGAACCTGTGGATCTGCATGTTTAGTAGGCTCCCAAGCAGATCAGGAACCACTGGGCGGAAAGTAGATTTCTGTACCATTTTGAGAAAATATGTGAGTAGCTATAGTATCACTATCAACCAGTATCTGACTATACTTATATCTGATGAACTGAATGCCCTAGCTCTGACATTCTGCCAAACTGGGGAAATATACAAATAATGCACTTCAGAATCATCCCTCTCTAAGAGTAAGGTGGAAGGAGTTAACTCCCCAGAGCCATTGCTTGAGGACTGCTCTCAGAGAGGGTCACTTCCTTGGCACTTCTTCCCTGCCTTTCCCATGGGCAGTCAAGTTCATGAAATGAAAACCTTCCTATGCAACTATATAAGAACAGTTTTCTCTCTTAATCTAAATAAGTAAGATTGTCCCCCACCCCCAAATGGATTTCTATTTTTACCCGGCATGTAACAGAAAAAAAAATTCAGATGCTTGTTTTGTTTTTATATTTTCCAGAAATTCTACAACCAAACCTTGGTGTTTCAGATTGCTCAGAGTGCTGAGAAGCTTACACTGCTGGTAAATGGGCAAGGTCTAGAGCCACGCCTAGAATTTAGTCCTTCTGTTCTGGAGCTGGGGCCACTGCTGCCTTTTGCACCTGGAGATGAGGCTGAAGTGGTAGTGAAGAATCCCTGCAACTTCCCCATTGAGTTTTACTCCCTAGAATTCGACCAGCAACATCTCATGGAAGAAAAGGTGAGCGGAGGCCAAAGCCAAACTCTATTTTTCTACACGTGCCAGGCACAGCCATGTACTCATACTCGTCCCTCCACAGGGAATAACTTCCTCCTGGCCTTTTTCCTCTCTTTCCCATTGAACTCTTCCCTGTCAATTTAATAATCATTCCTCTGTAGCCTCTCTAGACATACTGCCCTTGACAGGAGCAGAATTCATTGCTTCTTTGTGATTTTATTATACACTTTAAACAACTAATTGTAAAACTACTACATATTCATTGCTAGAATTCAAACAGTAAAGAACTGTACAGCAACCTGCATGTATTTTTGAAGTTGAGCTACTTGTAGACAGCATGTGATTGGGACATGTTTTAAAATATACTTTGCCAAGCTCTGTCTTTAGTTGGTGCATTTAGACCATTTACATTTAACGTAATTATTGATATGGAAGGGCATACGTCTGCAATTTGTTTTTGTTCTGCTTACTGTTTTCTACCTTCCTATCAATGACTTTGACATCATCTAGAATCCTATTTTTATTTACCTAGAGTGTTTTCTGAGTGTATCTATTTGTATATTTTCTTTAGTTATTGCTGTAGGTGTTACATTATATACATAACTTTTGTTAGTCAACTAGTGTTGACATTTTAATGACTCTAGTGTAATTTTAGAACCTTCTTCCCTTTATATCCCTTCATTCTTTCCATTTTTTAATGTAACTATTTTAAATATTTTTTTATATCAGATAGTATTAAAATTGTTGTTTCAACTGTCAAACTTAAACTAGAAAACCCCAGGGGAGAAGGAAAATATATTACATTTATCTTTTTACTCCTCCTGGTTTTTTTTCTTTCTTTCTTTCTGATATTTAAGATTTTCTTTTATTATTTCCTTCTGTTTAGAGAGCAGCCTTTAGCTATCCTTTTAGGGTAGGTCTGCTGGTGAAAATTTCTTAGCTTTCCTTCATCTAAGAATGTCTTCATTTCCCCCTCATTCTTGAAGGATTTCTTTCACTGAATATAGAATTTTGAACTGACAAGTTCTTTCAGCCCTTGAAAAATATGCCAATTCCTTCTGGCTTCCATGATCTGATGAGAAATCCAATGTCATCTGAATTGTCTTTTTCTCTGTAGGTAAGATTTTATTTCTCTCTCACTGCTTCCAAAATTTTTTCTGTGCCTTAGTTTACAAGAGTTTGACTATAATGTGTCTTGGCATAGATGTCTTCTAGTTTATTCAGTTTTGAACTTGCTCACCTTCTTGAATCTGTAGATTTTTATCTTTTATCTTTTTTCCAATTTGGGAAAATTTCAGGCATTATTTGAGTACTTTTTCAGCCTCATACTCTTTCTATTCTCCTTTCAGGACTCAAATGACACTAATGTTAGATCTTTTTTATAGTCTCACGGTTCCTTGAGGCTCTGTTCATTTTTTAAAGTCAATTTTCTCTGTTGTTCCGACTGAGCACTTTCTATTATTTTATCTTCAAGTTCACCGATTCTCTCCTCCGTACCCTCCATTCTGATGTTGAGCACATCTATTGAGCTTTTATTTTGATAATTTATTTTTCAGTTCTAAAATTTTCATTTGGTTCTTTTTTAATATCTTGTGTTTCTTTGCTGAGACTTTCTGGGGGTTTTGTTTCAAATATGTTCATTAAAGCATTATCATGATAGCTGCTTTAGAATCTTAGCAATATGTCTTATGTCACTATTACCTTAGAGCTGACATCTAGTCATTTTCCTTTTCAAGTTGAAATTTTCCTAGTTGTTGGTATGATGAAGGATTTTTAGTTAAAACCTGGGCATTTTTGGTGTTATGTTATGAGACCCTGGACCTTATTTAAGTTTTCCCTTTTAGCTGGTCTCCTCTAACAAAGGGAAGGGGGTACAGCCTTCTTACTGCCATGTGGGAGTAACAGTCCGAATTCCTCCTTGGTTTTCTTTGACAAATAGCAGGAGGGGCTCTTCATTACTGCTGGCCAGGAATGGTATTTCTGGCCCCCTAAAGGCCTCTGCTAATACCTCCCTGGCTGAGAGGGGCAGGAGTACCTTGTTACTACTCCCCACGTGACCTCCACTGACTACGTGTGCCACTATCTAGTGTACTGGATAGTGTTAAAACCCCTGAATCTCCACACCAGCCCAGCAGAGGAGCAAAGGGGCACCCCTTCACCACCAGATGAAGGTGGTAGTTCATGCTGCCCACATGTTCTTTACTGACAGGTTTGGCAGGAGGTGAGCAGGAACAACACTTCTAAGATGTCCCATACTCACAGGGTTTATTTCCTCCTCAGACCTGGATTCAACCATTTCTCCAAGTAGTCCTGGTTCCTTTTAGTAGGAAGTAGTATTTAGAGGTCACAGTCTGGACCACCAGGTTGTGACTCTCTAGGTATTTTCAGTGGGTAGAATTAGGAAATAACATTTTTTGAAATAACAATTTTTAAGAGGGAAAAAATTATGATGCGTAATGATGTTTCAAATTCCAACTTAAGATTATAGGATTTTCTCTAAATTCTTTTGTTTCCATTTTCTCTTTAAAATCTTCACTATAAACTTCTTTATCAAGTTACCTTATAAAATATACATTTGATAGTTTCAAAAAAGCACTGCCAAAATTCCTACCATCAATTACACGACTACATCTTATTATTCACAAGCATGGTGCAGCTCATAAGCTGTGTTCCAGCTGTTTCCCCAGATCCACATATCACACACCCCACCCTGCTGTCCTACCTTGAACTACAGCTTGTCTAAGTGCCCTACTCTTTAGAAACTGTCTCTTAATTTCCTACTATAAGCAAAAATGAAATTAACTAGTAATTTCTTTTTACCTCTCCCCATCCTCCAATTTAAAATGATATTCTTTCATTTAAAGTCATTTAATCATCTCATGTACACATTCCCATATTTTGCTACTTGTATTTTATCTATATTGCAAGAGCTTATAGTATTAAGGTGTCAGTATTTAATTTCTATCATAGACTCTTAAGTTCTACACCTAAACATATTCAGTGCCCAACACCAATCCTTATAATGAAGCTTCTTCAATCACTTCTGGATTATCTAAAGCTCATAGGGACAATATCCCCTGAGTGCCCACATGTTTATAACTGCTTATCTGTGACTTGAAGATCAGTTTGATTGGATGCAATATCTTTGGCTCACATTTCCTTCACCTGAGTATGTAAAATGAGTTGCTCCATTGTTTTCTCATAAGATGTTGCTTTCGTCAAGTCTGATGCTGTATTTGTTATCTTTTGCTGCATAGCAAATTTCCCCCAAAACTGATCAACTTAAAACAAGAAACATTTTTTATCTCATGGTTTCCATGGGTCAGGAATTAGGGAATGGCTATGCCAAGGTAACTGGTTCTGCTTCCTCTGAACCCTTCCCTTTTGAATCTTCTATCTGCTTTACTTCCAAGTAAAGAAGATAGAATTTTATACTTTGTCCAATTTTGAATCTCCTCCCAGAAGTTTTTCTTGGAATGAGAATCTGCTCTTATAGAAGAGAGAATTTTTGTTAGGTATTTGTGATATTCTGAATGGCTTATGTTGGTATAGCATCTTCCATTGAGGGTCAGATTCCATAGAAAGCACAATCAAAGACTCTGAGATTTTGGATGTGGGAGGTTTACTGGGTGCACTCTCAGAAACAACACCTGTGAAGAATAGGAAAGCAGAAGTCAGCAGGAAGAGATGAACTGTGATGAGATTGCAGTGAAGCCTTCAGCTGATCGCACAGGGAACTTTGGAGTTGGGTTGGCTCTTTGGAGTTGCCCCAGGTGCTGCAAGATGGACTTTGTATTCTACATCAACCAGTCTTTGGCATATTCCTTCCTTCCCACTGATTTGCTATTTGCTATGCCACCTCTGTCCTGTGTCAAAGTTCCGTATGTGAATGGGTCAATTCTAAGCTTTCTCTTCTATTTCATTGGTCAGTTTGTCTGTCCTGGCATCATCCCCACTGTATCACTACAACTTCATAATAAAATCTGGGCAATTCTCTCCATTTATTCTTCTTCATTAGGGTTTTAACTTTGCCCTTCCTTGTAAATTTTAAAATAACCTTATTAGCAGTGGTTTTCAAACAACTAAAAATGGTGATCCTGGAGAAAAGTTACCTAACAAAACATAGTTTCATGCCAATAAATCAGGTTGTGGAGGAAATAAATTCTTTTTAGAAATTTATTTTACTGTGTCTTATAAATATACAGATTTGTCAGGGTTGTCAGATTTAGGAGGAAATAAACAGGCTTCCAAGTTAAATTTGAATTTCAGATAAACAACAAATACTTTTTTTAGCATAAGTATGTCCCGACATATTTATACTAAAGAAAAGTTGTTCGTTGTTTGTCTGAAGTTCAAGTTTAACTAGGCATCCTGTATTTTATCTGGAAGCCCTATTATACTCTCTCTCTCTCTCTCTCTCTCTCTCTCTCTCTCTGTCTCGCGCGTGCGCGATATAATCTTACCTATTTTTCACTGGATCCTCTATTTATGAGACAACCACCTTGCTCAGTGTAATATTGCTAACCACAATATTTTTTAAGGATGTGTCACTCAAAGTAGAAAAGGAGTCCTATACTTTTGTTATGGAGGGCAGGGGTGAAGAAAAAGAAGAAGAAAATTCCTTTCCACATGTGAAATGCCCATGGTAAGACAGACCAAAATTAAGGTCCTGTGTCCTCACAGAACTCAGTCCTACTTCTCAGACCTCTCCAAAGGGCCCTACCCTTTGAAATCCAGAAAGTATTTCTACAAGCCTCAGCCTCAGGTAGAAGCAGGAGTTTGCCAAGATCAATAAGCAGGCCCACCCACAGCTGCAAGGAGGAAGCTTCCAGTGATACCAATGGTGGTTTTTGTTCTCCCCTTGAGCAGATCTTGCGAATCCTGAAGGGCTATGATTCCTACAACACCCTCCTCTTACCTCCCCGCAACCCAGGGGAGAAGCTGCCCCCAGAGTTGTATGAGTACTTTAAGGAGATGAAGAAGTCAAAAGAGGAGCAGATGAAGGCAAAATATCTGGAGATTCTGGCGCAGGAGAACGGTAAGAACTCAGCATGGAGAACCCCTGGCTCTAGCCACTGACCTGGCCCCTTTGAATTATCCCTGCTGTGAGACTGATCAGATATTAAGTACCTGCCAGATGCTAGGCAGGTGCTGTACACCTTATGTATTTTATTTCTAACCCTTACAGAATGGGTCCTATTATCCCCATTTTATGGATGCCGAGGCTAGAACACATTCTGTTCTTATTAAAACACAGTGGGGTATTAAGACTTAAAAACAGCTAATATAGCCGGAAGAATGCTTGTTGGACACTGTGCTTAGGGCTTTGCATGTACAGAGGAGAAACTGAAGCACAGTCGTAAATAGCAGAATCCTGGGATTCCTGCCCAGTCTTCTGACTCAAGTCCATGACAGTAACCACTGCCTCCTATGGGTGTACCTAAGTATTGCAAAGTAATGCATCAAGGAAGGTAGACATCGATGCATCGATGCATCGATGCCCTAAAAGAGATAGGAGGATGGGAATTCACATGAGAAAATGGCCAACCCGACCATGGTTCTAAGGCCAAACCCCAATCACCAAGCTGGCTGTACTCTGAGAATCATACCTTTTCTGGTCCAGCCACTCCCAAATTGTCCCGTCATCTGCCTAGGAGTTCTCTTTTGTGCTTGAGTGTGAAGGTTCCTTGCTGACTCTGGGACCATGTGGCTCATGGTGGTGTGCCTGCTCCTTCCTGCTTCTCTGTGTCCTCATCCTGGAAGTGTGCCCACCTTGTTTGTACTTGCTCTTTTCTGTGTAACAGTCATGACACTCATAATTATTTCATTCATACCTGCCTCCCTGACTAGCCAAGAAGCCCCCCTAAAGGCAGTGGTCACATATTGCTCACTTGTAAACCCAGCACATGGAATAGCAGCTGATACCCAGTGTTGCCCCCAGAAATGGGTGCTGTATGGGTGAACGCATCAGTGGATTGCATGGAGTCCTTTTTTCCTGCCATTGGGCCTGTCTCATTATCTCTGAAGGAAAGAGAAGCTAGTCAGAGAATACTATTTTGGCCTAACAGGAAAAGATGAGAAAAGAAGGCTACCTCCCACATAGTCTCCTGGTCATGTTCCTTGAGTACAGTATTAGTTTTCAAGGCTGCCATAATAAATATCACAGGTGGCTTAATCAACAGAAATTTTTTTTCTCACAACTCTGGGGTATAAAATTCCAAGATCAAGTGTCAGCAGGATTACTTTCTTCTGAAACATTTCTTTTAGATGGCTGTTCTCTCCCTATATCTTCACACAGTCTTCCCTCTGTGTGTGACTGTGCCCTAATCTGCTCTTTCCACAAGGCCATCAGTCATATTGTATTAAGACCCACCCTCTGTGGCCTCTCTTTATCCTAATTACTTTTTTAAGGCCCTATCTCCAAATACAGTCACATTCTGAGAAACTAGGAGGTTAGGTCTTCAACATATGAATGGGGAGGAGGCATTAAATCCATAACAAGTGCCCACTATGTTGCCGGCACTGAGTTGAGGTACAGGAAAAAAATCAATGACACAAGGCCCTTGCCTTTGAAAGCTCAGAGTCAGGAAGGGGTGAGGGGGAGAGACACCTAAATTCAAAGGGACTACCCAGTGGTCCAAGGCAGGGGACTGGGAAGGGCTGCAATGTACAAAGCTTTGTATCGTGCCATGGTCCCGCAACACACCACGGTTATAGGTTCACTTTTCCATTTGGCCCAGTGGAAGGTGATTTAGAGCCAGGACCAGTGGATCCAGAGGGAACCCAGGAAGGTGCACGCTCTGCTTCTCATCAGCACTTCTCTGATGAGCTTCATCTACTCAGCTCTCACAGTATAGACTGTCCTCTGCTTCCTGCATCCAGGGAAGGCCTGCAGACCCAAGTCACATTGCCATCATCCACAAGACAGCTGCAACCTCTTAGGCTCAAATCCAAATTCTAAACAAAGATGTCTTGCCCTGTGATAGCAGTAGGTCACCTTGTACAGTCACAGCCCATGAACCACCTGAGAGGCTGTAGAATAGGGGACAGTGCAGAGGGTATTGCACCAACAAAATGGGAGAGGGGCCTAACAATGACATGAGGAATGTTCATGATAAATTAAAGGGGAAAGCAGACTACAGATCAGTGTATAATATGACCCCAAGTTTAATTTGGAAAAATGGAAAACTAAAAATTTGAGAGGTTTCTGCTCTCTTGTATTGGCACCATAAAATTCAGTGCAATTCCTGTCACCATTTATTTGTCTCTATCTCTTTTTGCAGGTGAATTCTATCACTTTTGGATCTTCTAAATTTTCCTAATTTTCTGAGCAAATGCATAATTTTGGTGCTTAAACAAGTGTTGAACACTATGCAGAGAGAGACTCAGGAACAGCCAACTGACTGTAGTTCTTGTTTATTTGGGTTGGATAATCCAGGGTGATGGGGACACAGTAATTCTCCTCTTTGTCTTTTTAAATTTCCTTTTCTGCTCTCATCTCCCTTGTCCCCTCCTAATTCTTTTCCTTATGTTTTCATCCTATGCTCCCTGGCAGAAGAGGAAGATATGACCACATCAGATCAGGGAACCTCCACTAGCACAAAGAGGACATCGCTTAGCCGTGGGATCTCTGTCACATCCAACCTGGAAGAGCGCTATGTCCCTCTGGTTGAGTCCAAAACCTACCCAGATGAGGATGAGGATGAGGAAAGCCTGGAAAAAATCATGTTTCAAGGTAACTCAGCATTTTAATGGTACCAGTTCTCTCCAAGCAGAAGTAGGAAGACTATGTCCTGTACCCTGTCCCCTTTCTCTATAAAATGCTTCCTAACACAGTTCCCCACCCTACTCCCATCCTGTCCTGCCCACCACGCTTGCCCTCTGGGGAAGCTCTGATCTACCCACTCACACTCAGGTACACGCATGGGAGGCTGCTGATGAGCTTAGCATATGACATATTTTTTACCATAGTTATCTGCATTTTAGCTAGACAATATGAAGGTCTGAATCTTTAATGTTAAAGTTCCAGCAGACCAGGAGGTGTTTAGAGAAACATTTTGGGGGTTGGGGGATATTTTTCCCAGCATCCCTCCAATTGGACCATTAGGGAACCCTACTCTTGACCTCCCAGCATTGCAGGCCCATTTTCTGATGTTTATTTTCCCCAAGTTATACAAGATGTTGAAACCATATTTAGAAAACTAGATTCCATGAAACTGTGTTCACAGCAGTCACTTGTTTGCCAGTCATTCTAAACCGTGATAAGGCCTCCACAACCTAGTCATGTGCCTGGCTCAGGGAATAGGAATCATGTGCAATCATGTGCAATCATGAGACCGTTAAAGAGTTTAGTTAATTTGTCATTCTTAGCCAACTAGGTGAGTAAATTAAGGTAAGAGAAGGTGATGGCAAAACTGGGATTAAAAGCAGACCTTCTTGCCTCCATGCCCTGTGTTTAATCCTCCTTGGCTTTAGTAGCCTGCCCCCCTCATGGCTCCTGGTCTCTCTTGGCAGTCTCCCACACCCCACACATCCTGGCTCTGCTCTTCATGCTGGGTTCTTCCAGAGCTGACTCCAGAAGTCCTACAGAGAAGGAAACACACCACAGGGCTTAGGATGGAAAAGTCTAGAAACAATCTAAATGCCCACTGGGAAACACTAGTTATATTATGATAAATGCATGCAGTAGGAGTTATTTAGCAGGTATTTAAAAAAGAATGAGGCCAGGTGTGGTGGCTCACATGTGTAATCCCAGCACTTTGGGAGGCCAAGCGAAAGGGCTTGAGGCCAGAAGTTTGAGACCAGCCTGAGCAACTTAGCAAGACCCCCACCTCTACAAAAAAATTTATAAACTCATCTGGGCTTGGTGGCATGCCTCCCAACTACTTGGAAGATTAAAATGGGAGGAGCACTTGGGCCCAGGAGTTCGAGGCTGCAGTGAACTGTGATCATGCCACTACTTTCCAGCCTAGGTGACAGAGTGAGACTCTGTCTCTAAATAAATAAATAAATAAACAAACAAATAAATAAGTTGAGCTAGATCTGTATTTAAGTAAATGAAAAGATGTCCAACATATGTGAAAAAAATAAGTTACAGAACAAAATTTAGAGTTTGATCCTAGTTTTGTTATAAAAGCACTAAATGAGTTTGGGGTGACTATATGTGTAAGGCTGTATACTACTCTGCATATTACACATATTCTTCTGCACTATTACTACAATTCCTCCAGGCAGTACTTTTTATCTAAATCAAGGGTTATTCCATATGACCCAGCAATCCCCCTTCTGGGAATATACCCAGAGGAACTTAAATCACTCTACAGAAAAGATACCCGCACACACATATTTATTGCAGCACTATTTACAATAGTAAAAACATGGAACCAACCGTGCTATCCATTGAAATTGGACTGGATAAAATATTGTGGTACAAATACATGATGGAATATTATGCAGCCATAAAGAATAACAAAATTATGAACTTCACAGCAACTTGGATAGATTTGGAGTCTATAATACTCAGTGATTTATCACAGAAACAAAGAATTGCATACCACATGTTCTCACTCATAAGCAATCCCTGAACATTTACCATAATACTATAAGAAAGGGATTGGCAGTAGCCAGAAACTCCCAGTGGGGGGGGGCACACATAACATCAATAAGGGTATCTGATCTCAAACCAGGTGAAGTGGGGACCAATGGAAGGCCCAAACTTTACCTGTACAATGACCACTTGTATACCTAATCCTGAATTGTACCCCACATCTTTAAAATAAAAAAAATTTAAATAAAAATAAATCAAGGGTTAGCAAATTTATCCCATTAAAAGTCAGACAGTAGCTGTTATTTTTTGAGTTGTTGATAATTGCCATTCTGACTGGGGTTAGGTGGTATCTCTTCTACACTGTTGGTGGGAGTGTAAACTAGTGCAACCTCTGTGGAAAGCAATGTGGCGATTCCTAAAAGGTCTAAAAATTGACCTTCCATGTGACCCTGCAATCCCCCTACTGGGAATATACCCTGAAGAACACAAATCACTCTATAAAAAAGATACCTGCACACGTATGTTTATCGCAGCGTTGTTCACAATAGCAAGAACCTGGAAACAACCATGCTGCCCATCAAAAGAGGACTGGATTTTAAAAATGTGGTACATATACACGATGGAATACTATGCAGCCATAAAAAAGAACAAAATCATGTATTTCGCTGCAACCTGGATGGAACTAGAGTCTATAATACTGAGTGACCTCTCACAGAAACAAAGATCCGAGTATCACATGTTCTCACTCATATAATGGACCTTGAACAACCAATGCAATACTATAAGAAAATGACAGACGGAACTGGGAAACTGTGGGGGGGAGGGGGATGGGATTAACAGTAGCAAATACCTGTTGGGGGATGGGAAAACACCTCTTATCAACAGGGTGCCTGAATGAAACGTAAATGTACACCTAACCCTTAACTGTACCCCACAAAACCATAATAAAAAATACTAATTAATGAAAAAAAAAAAAGTTAGACAGTAAATATTTTGGGCAGTGGGCCGTAGTCTCTGCTGTAACTACTCACCTCTGCCTTTATAGCATGGAAGCAGTCAAAGACAATATGTAATTGAAGGGCATAGTTTGTTCCAATAAAACTTTATTTTCAAAAACAAGCAGAGGACAGATTTGGCCTGTGAGCTATAGTGTACCAGCCTCTGATATCTAAGTCACTATTTTAATAACTACTCTGTATTAATTCTATAATATGACTATGCCATCACTTATTCAGCCATTTCCCTTGATGTTGCTAATTTGTTGATGTTGTTCTAATATTTTGCCACTATAAACAATCCTCCTCTTCATACAATGTCCTTTCTATTTTTTGGTAGCAAAGATTCCCAAAAACAGTATAGTCAAAGAGTATTTGTGTTTTTAAATTTTAGTAACTGTGAACAAATTACTATCCAAAAAGGGTGTTCTCATACAGTACAGGTGGAGATTGCTGCAGTGTTTGCCATTTTAAAACAAGAGTTTAAAAAGAAAAATTTGTTCCCAATTCCACCAGTACCCATGTAAATTCTGGATGTGTACACATGCACACACATGTGCACACATGCATATATTTTTAATTTGCAGCTGACAAGATTCAGAGCACTGATAGCCACTCTGTGGAGGAAGTTGGAGAGGTAGAAAACAACCCAGTGAGCAAGGCAATCGCTTGCCACCTGGGCATTGACATTTCTGCAGAAGGCCGCATGGCCAAGAGTCGGAAAGGCATCGCCATTATCATCCATGGGACACCCTTGTCAGGTATGCAACAATTCTAAGGGGAGGTTAAGACCAAGGACTCCATGTCTCCTCTGTAAACTCTGTGACTTCCAGGGTGGCAACATGATTTGTGGTGATAGCAGATACTAACAATTTTATTTGAGGCACAACACAGTGTAATGATTACAAGTATGTACCCCAGAGTCACACAGCCATATGTCGGTTCCTAGCACTGCCATTTATAGCTGTATGCCTTTGGAGAAGTTACTTAAGTTCTCTGTGCTCAGTTTCTTTTTCTATAAAATGATATTAGCAGTATTTTTATAGAGTAGTCATGAGAATTAAATATGGACATTTGTATAAAATGTTTATCCTAGTAGTTGGCACATAATAAATATTCAAACAAAAAGCTGTTGATATTGTTATTATTATTACTACAATGACTATTATCATCCATAATAGCCATATGTGGAGTTTGAGTCTCCACTGGAAAAAATTTCAATCTCATGCTAAATATTCTCAAAATATTGCTAACCAAAATACTCCTTAAGTCAAGGAATGAGTCATTCTTTATTGTTTCCAAAATTGCACATGCTGGCTGGGTGCAATGGCTCATGCCTGTAATCACAGCACTTTGGGAGGCCAAGGCGGGAGGATTGCTTGAGCCCAGGAGTTCACAACCAGCTTGGGCAACATAGCAAGACCTTGTCTCTACAAAAAAAAAATTTTTTTTCAAAAAATCAGTTGAGTGAGGTGGCACACACCTGTAGTCCCAGCAACTCAGGAAGCTGAGGCAGAAGGATCACCTGAGCCCTGGAGGTCAAGGCTGCAGTGAGCTATGATTATGCCACAGAGTGAGACTCCAACTCAAAAACAAAACTTACATGTGCTAACTTTACCATAAACCCAAAGGAGCAAAATCACCTACAATGAACAAGATTGTAAACTTGTATAGTGATTTTCAGTTCATAGAACCCCTTGCCTTCCATTTCTCTGTTCAAACTTCACAACTACCAGAGAAGGGAGTTCAATTGCTCCCACCTCACAGAAAGTCAAGGTTCAGAGAAATTCAAGGACATCTGCCTGAGGTCACCCAGCTAGTAAGTAGCAGCGCAGAGGAACTCTGAGAGGATGTCCTACCATTTCTCTTAGCTTCAGCTTACTTGAAGAAGGGGCATGAAACCTTTTTCTGACCCAATTACTGTCACTCATACACACAACATTTATGGAGCATATTCGATGTTCTAATCACTGAGAGGTTCCAGGAATCTAACATTGTCACAATCTAATACCCCTTCCTTTGAAGAACGTTTCCTTGAGAAGTCATAAACCAGGACCCAAAAGGTAGAAGGCCAGATGTGGGAGCAACAGGTGGAAATTAAACAAGGTGAATAAGAATGTGCTTTAAAATGTTTTGAAGACTCCACTGCCCACAGCAAGTCATGCCGTTTTTGCACTGCTCTGAAATAAGTGTCGGAGAGAGTGTCAGAGAGATATTCAATGGACCAGTAGAAATTGAAGACAGTTGGAGAGTTAACCATGAAAATGCACCAGCCTTGAAGGATCCACTGGCCCCATTCTAGGGGGAGTGTGGGCTATGGCAATAATAATCCTTGCCTTTTTATGGAGCCTTACAATTTTCAAAGAATCTTCATAAAGAATCAGTTTGTAATCTGTGTCAAAAATCAGACTGTTCAATGTAAGTTATTTTGCCACTTTTGTTTATTGGTGAAGTTAGCACATGTAACTTTTGAAGGTAATAAAAGACTCTTTGATTTATCATTTATATGCTAAAGGATTATCCACAAACTATTAAATTGCTGACCTCAGAGATAAGGGGTTAAGAAGGAGAGGGAAGACACCTCATGTTGAATTTACACATCTCTGAATTGTTTGAACTTGCATTCCTTTCATAATTTAAAAACATTAAAATATTAGAGAAAAAAATCCAAGACATTAAGTTATTAAAAAGAGAGGGAAGAATATGTGCAAAGCCTTTGACCTGGCAATGTTACTTCTAAGCATTTCTTTGGAAAATAATTAATGAGGTGGACAAAGATTAACTGCAAAAATGTTCACCGCGGCACCATTTTTACCATAATAAAAAATATTGGAAGCAATTGAAACATTCAGTATAGCAGATTGATTAAGCCACAGTATATTCACATAGTGAATTATAGTCATTAAAAACAGTATCATTTTAAAAAGTGTCTTGAACACCCATATTCATAGCAGCATTATCCACCATAGTCAAAAAGTGGAAATAACCCAAATGGCCATCAATGGATGAATGGAAAAGCAAAATGTAGAAAAACAAAATGTGGTACAATGGGATGTTATTCAGCCTTGAAAAGGAAGGAAATTCTGACACATGCTACAACATGGAGGAATCTTGAGGTTACTATGCTCGGTGAAATTAGATAGCCGCAAAAGAACAAATACTATATGATTCCACTTATATGAGGGCACCTAGAGTAGTCAAGTTCACAGAGGCAGGAGGAAAGCTGGTACAGAGGGAAGAGAGTAATGGAGAGTTATTGTTTGTTGAGTACAGAGTTTTGGTTTGAGGTGACAGAGTACTGGATATGGATGGTGGTGATGGATGCACAACAACGTGACTGTGTTTAGTGTCACCTTAATGTGCACTTATAAATGGTTGAAATGGTAACTATGAGGCATATTTTACCACAGTAGAAAGGTCATCGTGCCATACAAGTATATTGAGTGAATAGAAGGGTATTCATGATCTATCATTTTACATGAGAAAAAGGTATTTGTAGTTTGTCTTACTATTTCCATTACTACTGTTACAAATGACCACAAACTTCATGACTTCAAGCAATGCAAATTTACACTCTAACAGATCTGGTGGCCAGAAGTCTAAAATGTGTCAGCAGGGCTGCTGCATTTCTTCTGGAAGATGATCTGGGGGAAAATTTGTTTCCTTGTCTTTTCTAGCTTCTAGAAATGTTGCCCGTGTCCCTTGGCTCATGGCCTCTTCCTCAAAGCCAGCAGCATAGCATCTGTCAGTCTTTCTGTGTTTGGTTATCATATCGCTTGCTCTTACTGACCCTCCTGCTTTCCTCCTATAAGGACCCTTGTGATTGGATTATACCCACCCAGATAATCCAGGATGGCCTTCCATATCAAGATCCATAAATTAATCATATCTACAAAGTCCCTTTTACCCTATAAGGTAACATATTTGCAAGTTCCAGGAATTAGGACATGGACGTCTTCCCATTTCCTTTTTATAAGAAAGAAACATAGCCGGGCTCAGTGGCTCAGCCTGTAATCCCGCGCTTTGGGAGGCTGGGGTGAGTGGATTGCCTGAGCCCGTGGGTTCGAGACCCACCTGGGCAGTGAGACCTCATCTCTACAATAAATCAAAAAATCAGCCGGGCGTGGTAGCACATGCCTGTAATTCCGGCTACTTGGAAGGCTGAGGCGGAAGGATCGCCGGAGCCCAGCAGGTCGAGACTGCGGG